GCCTCTACTGTTCAGACTATGACTGGATACAGGAAGATCCCTCATAACTTCTTCCTTCTTCCGGACAACATGCACCTGCAGCTGTGTCGCAGCATGATGGAGATTCAGAGTGATGTATGTTTTCATTTTTCACTTTTATATTACCATGGTGTAATGCTAGCATAACATATAACGCAATATACATATCCTTTAAACTCTTTTACACATGTGTTTTCCTCTGTATACCCACAGAATGTCTACAAGTCTGATTACAGCAACTACTGCAAAGGTCTAGGGTGGGTCCCTATTGGTTCTCTGGATGTTGAGAAAGCCAAAGCTGCTAAAGCTGCACTGGATGAAAGAGGCTACCGCCAGCATCCCAGCAACTTCAAATTCACAAGCAAGACTGATGCCATGAACATGACTCTGGCTATGACCAACACAAAGCAGATGGACCAAGTAAGAGTGCCTTCTTGTTACAGAAGATGCAATATTCTTTCATCTCTCTTAACATATGCTGACGTATTAATACATATCAGACCAAACGTTCTTTTACAAGTATCCTTTCAAAAATCACTGTTCTTTTTTCTTCCCACTAGGCTTCCTACAAGGCCTCTGGCGAGAAGTTCGTGCACACCTATAATCTGCCAGCTGACGCCCCTGAGTTCCTCCAGGCTAAATTCAATGCCCAGACACTTAGCGAGGTTAGTGTACAGAAGATTTGATTAAATATCAAAGTTAAGCAATGTTTGATCAGCCAAATATACAAGTCAACAGAATCTGACTTGCCTGAAGTGTATATCACTGTCATCTGTGTACCAAACATTGTTCTAACACTTTCCTTTTTATTTGCAGAGCCACTACAAGCACAAGTGGTTAGAAGATATTGCCAAGGGATATGACATGAAGCCTGATGCTATTCCTATCTTGCATGCCAAGCAAGGCAGACATATTGCCAGCAACGTACGTCATAAATGCATATAATAAATCACTAGCATATAATGTATTCAGAACTTTTTTTTGACGTACCTGATTCCATATATTGCAAACACATAACTATTTCAAATTCCTTTTCTTTTCAGGTGCAATACAAAAAGGAGTATGAGAAGGCCAGGGGCCACCACGTTGGCTTCCGTAGCCTCCAGGACGATCCCCTGCTGGTTCACTACATGGAAGTGGCTAAGTTGCAGAGTGACAAGAACTATAAGAAGGACTACCAAAAGTCCAAGCTNTTTGTTTTTTTTATGCTCTTGCTGCAAAGTATATCAGAAATTAAAACATGTGATACTGTACTTCACAGGCTGTCTACAAAGCTGACCTGAAGTGGCTCCAGGGCCTGGGCTGGGTCCCTATTGGCTCAGTTGAAGTGGAAAAAGCCAAGAACGCCGGACAGATTTTGAGTGAGAGAAAATACCGCCAGCACCCCAGCACTGTTCCATTCACGAGCCCCACAGATGCCATGAATATTGTGCTGGCAAAGGGTAACGCTCAGACCATGAACAAGGTAGACTTCATCGCTATCTTGCTTTGCAAACCCATTTCACTCTGGTAATCTCTTTAGTCATTAGCATCAAATAACGCTGTGATCATCTGTGCTTCATTGCAGCGTCTCTATGTTGAGGCATGGGAGAAGGATAAGACCCAGCTTCACATTAAACCTGACACTCCTGAGATCGTCCTCTCGCAACAAAATGCAATCAACATGAGCAGGGTGAGTGTAATTACTTTTGTACATGATCTGAAGATGAAGCTTGCCTTGTTTGACATACCTACGTCAGCAAGACTGACTCTTGTCTTAAGGGATTGACAATCTTTTAGCTGTTTACACTAATTTCCATAGAATTTCAATTCCTGTTTTTGTCAGTTGTGTGTACTTATTAACCACACTAGGAAATTATATATATTGTGCTTATTTGAAGTGCCAGGTGAGATTCTAGGCCTTACTGCAGGCCTTATTAGCCCGTAATTAGGCCATATAACAGTTAGGTGGCACAAGTAATCTCTGTTTGTCATTGCAATTAAAAGTATTCATATATGTATTATTTTCCAGAAACTATACAGACAAGGTTTTGAGGAAACCATCAGCAAAGGCTATTTCCTCCCTTCAGATGCCATCTCTGTGAAGAGTGCTAAGGCCTCCAGAGACATCATCAGTGATGTGAGTACCATTTATCCGTTGATATGATCACTGCCACGATGTGAGTGGTGTTGTAGTTGTAACATTAAACATTTTTTTCTTATTTCATCAGTACAAGTACAAGACAGGGTACCGCAAGCAGGTCGGTCACCACATTGGTGCCCGCAACGTAGAGGAAGACCCTCTGATTATGCTGGCTCTGAACTCAGGCAAGATCGCCAGTGACGCTCTGTACAAGAAGGACTTCAACAAGTCCAAGACCAAGTTCAACCTGCCAGTGGACATGTTGAGTCTTGAGCTGGCCAAGAAATGCCAGATTCAGGTCAATCACGCTAACTACATCACCCGCCTGCACCAGTGGACTTGCCTTCCAGACTCCAATGATGTGGTTCAGGCCAGGAAAGCTTATGACCTCCAGAGTGATGTGAGTCCATCTGTAATACATTTGGTGTATTATGCCATGTAAAGATGCGTACATGTTTTGATGTATGTGATTTTCCTCCTAGGCCGTGTACAAAGCTGACATGGATGAGATTGTAGGCGTAGGATGGGTCCCCATTGGTTCGCTGGATGTGGTAAAAGCCAAGCATGCTGGGAAAATCCTCAGTGATCGTCTCTACAGGCAACAACCACACACTTTCAAATATAAGAGTGACATGACTGCCATGCCCATGGTCTTGGCCAAATCAAATGCTGAGATCATCAACAAGGTATAATATTCCTCTTTTAATTTCTCTGCTCATCTGTTCAGTCTTTTGCTGATGATTTAATTTCTGTTTTTTCTTTTTTCTTTTTCTTTTTTCTCACCACAGAGAAACTACATTGCTGCTTGGGAAGCTGATAAAATCAAGACTCACGTGACCCCTGACCTGCCTGAGCTGTTGCTGTCCAAAGCTAATGCATACAACATCAGCATTGTACGCTTTTGCCATTTTTAAACTTAATTTAGTTTTGTACATTCCTGTTTTATTTTAGAATTAATTCTTAGAAATTCATATTAATTTACAATTCTATTTCCCTTTCTTTTCCAGAAACAATACAGGGAAGACGTTGAGAAGATCTTCAGAAAGGGCTACGACCTTAGGGCTGATGCTGTCTCTGTTATTGCTGCCAAACATGGAAGAGAAATAATCAGTGACGTATGTAACGTATAACTAAATGTTTTTCTTCTCCCTATTTCCCTTTGTGCCTTCTCCCTATTTCCCTTTGTGCCTATATATTTGTTGTTACCTGTCACTTAACTCTTTCTTTCTCCACAGTACAAGTACAAGGCAGGATACCGTAAGCAGGTTGGCCACCACATTGGAGCCCTCAGCGTCAATGACGACCCTCTTATTGTACTGGCTCTGAACTCAGCCAAGATTGCCAGTGATGCACTGTACAAGAAGGACTTCAACAAGTCCAAGACCAAGTTCAACCTGCCCGTCGACATGCTGAATCTTGAACTTGCCAAGAAATGCCAGATCCAAGTCAATGACTTCAACTACAGAACTCATCTGCACAACTGGACCTGTCTGCCTGACTCCAACGATGTGGTCCAGGCCAGAAAGGCTTATGACCTGCAGAGTGATGTAAGTATTAGGAGTTTCTCATGATATATTTGTTTAACATTTGTATATTTTTCTTTTAAAAACTAAATGCGACTCTTGTTTTCCTCGTGTTTGTAGGCCGTGTACAAGGCTGACATGGAATGGGTCAAGGGAATGGGATGGGTGCCAATTGGTTCGCTTGAAGTGGAGAAAGCCAAAAAAGCTGCAGAGATTCTGAGTGATCGGAAGTACCGTCAACATCCCAGCAACTTCAAGTTCACTGCCAAGACAAGTGACATGCCATATGCCCTCGCTCTGGCCAATGCCCAGATCATGGACAAGGTACAGATAGCACTTCTTTTTTACTCTTATTTCAAAATGTTCTGGGGCTCTGAAAGTATTATGCCAAACCTCTGGCAAAATGTGTCAGTACATTTTTATCTTTTATTTTTTGTTAACAATGAAAAGAATGACTTAAAAAGATCTCTCTTTTTTTTTTTTTAAAGTAATGTTCGAAGACTCAGAAAGGATCCCTTCTTAATGTATTAAATATGTGAATATCTGTTCTTTACAGAAAGCTTACATTTCTGCCTGGGAGAAAGATAAAGTCAACCTCCACGTCATGCCTGATACCCCAGAGATCGTCCTGGCCAAGCAGAACAAACTCAACACCAGTCTGGTAATGCAGTGTCTCTTCACATTGCTGTATAAACTAATGAAGATAAATCTTATAATACCTAATAAATCTTATTAGTCATCGTTAACCATGTTTCTTAATAAATTCTCACATGAAGAGAACTGTCTCTATACTGTAGGTACTGTACTTTAGGTTGTGGTCTGTAGAATACGGTGTAGATGATATGCTAACAGCATCACTCTTGTTTCCCTAGAAATATTATCGTGAAGGCTTCATGGACACCATCAACAAGGGCTACCACCTTCCCAAAGATGCAATTTCTGTTTTGGCAGCCAGGATGTCCCGAGACATCGTCAGTGATGTAAGTTTGTGTCCCACTGTTTAACATTTTCATATTTCCTTCACTTTTTTTTTTGCAAGCTAAATTTCTTTGCTAATTTTCTTATTTAGTAGTATTATGTAAGTTGCTGAGTGTATTATGAAACTAATTGAAACATCTCCATCCCCACGATCAGTACAAATACAAGGCTGGTTTCCGCAAGCAGTGTGGCCATCATATCGGTGCACTCAGCGTCAATGACGACCCGCTGATTATGTTGGCTGCTAATGCAGCCAAGATCTCCAGCGACAATATCTATAAGAAGGACTTCAACAAGACCAAGACCAAGTACAACCTCCCAGTGGACATGCTGACAATCGAATTGGCCAAGAAATGCCAGCAGCAAGTGAATGACTTTAACTACAGGACTCATTTGCACCAGTGGACATGCCTGCCAGACTCCAATGATGTGGTCCAGGCCAGAAAGGTCTACGACTTGCAGAGTGATGTAAGTACACCTTAAATTTGCTGAGCTTGAGGAGAGCTGGTGAAGTAAGGGAGGTTTATTTGTAGCCTCTTGTTCTCTGCTTGTTTTTACTGTTAAATCAGACATGTTGCTGTTTGTATCGCAGTTATTTTTTTCCTAACAGTTTCAAATTTAGATCTGTCAATGCACCTTAATGAAAATCCATTTTAGGACATCCTGCAGTCAGGAAAATTCAAAAGTACAAGAAGAAAAACCTTATTTATTAGGGTTAAAACTGATATATTTTCTTCAGGCTGTGTACAAAGCTGATCTGGAGTGGCTGAAGGGATGCGGCTGGTCACCTCAGGACTCTGTGGATGTTGTCAAAGCTAGAAATGCCCAGACTGTTCTCAATGAAAGGCTGTACCGCCAGCACCCGAGCACTGTCAAGTTTACCAGCGTTGTCGACCTCCCGGCTATTGTCTTGTCCAAGCAGAATGCTGACAACCTCAGTGATGTGAGTAACAATTCTTTGGTGAATTAACATGAAATGTTTTGTACAAATATCTTTGTGAATGAGTGCATCAAAATAAAAGACGTTAATATTCTTCTTTTCCTTCTGACAGTGGAAATATAGGGAGGTCTGGGATAAAGACAAGCTCACCATTCACCTGCCATCTGACATCCCCTCCGTTGTACTGTCCAAGGCCAATGCTGTTGCTATCAGCAATGTAAGTTTGTATTATTACAAGCTCTGCTCCAGTTCTGTCCATAAATGTAAATGAATATCTCATTTGTTGAAGGGTATTTATTTAGTCCTCTTTCTTGTACTGTGCAGAAACTGTACACAAAGGCATGGGATGACCAGAAGGCCAAAGGCTACCATATCAAGGAGGATGCTATCTCTGTGCTGAAGGCCAGAGCTTCCAGAGATATAATCAGTGATGTAAGGAACAAATTCTGACATTAATAATTGGTCGACTTGCTAAATTTTCATTAACCTTTTGCCTCTTCTCTTTAGTACAAGTACAAAACAGGATACCGCAAGCAGGTTGGTCACCACATTGGTGCCCGCAACGTAGAGGAAGACCCTCTGATTATGCTGGCTCTGAACTCAGCCAAGATCGCTAGTGATGCTCTGTACAAGAAGGACTTCAACAAGTCCAAGACCAAGTTCAACCTGCCAGTGGACATGCTGACACTTGAGCTGGCCAAGAAATGCCAGATCCAAGTCAATGACTTCAACTACAGAACCTATTTGCATCAGTGGACTTGTCTGCCAGATTCTAATGACGTGGTGCAAGCCAGAAAGGCCTACGATCTCCAGAGCGATGTAGGTTTATGTTGGTGCTCATGGATAGTATTCCTTCACATACACATATCTGTATCTGATATTTACATGCCTTGTAAATACATGAATAAATTTGCCTGCTTTTTTTCCTTAGGCTGTGTACAAAGCTGATTTGGAGTGGCTACGTGGATGTGGATGGATGCCACATGAGAGTGTGGAAGTTATGAAGGTGAAGAATGCTCAGAAGGTCCTGGCTGATGTAAGTTTGACACCTGACGAACCTCACACTTCCACACACACTTGAAAATATTAAGGAAATGTACGCGTTGGGTCAGTTAATCTCAGAATTATTTTTCTTACATGTCTTTCTTGCTGTTTTCATAGAGAGGCTACCGTGTGAAGTTGGATGAACAGAAATACACAGTTCCAACTGACAGAGTTGACATTCTCTGTGCCAAAAATGCTGCTGAAGTCCTGAATGAGGTGAGGATGACTGTTATTAAGATCCTATTTGGATGTTTTAAGTTCCGTCTTCAGGTGAACCACTTGGTGGGAAAGGGCTCACTGGCAGATTTTAGTTGTTAATAGTGGCTCATTTTTGTTCTTTCTTTCTGCTCAGGCCAAATATCGTGAGGCCTGGCACCAGGACAAGACCAAATACACACTGACCGACACTCCAACTCTTGCCTCAGCTAGGGAAGCGGCTAAGAACGTTCACCCGGTGAGACTGACTCCTAATGGGTGGTGTTTGCGACATATTTCAATTCAAAAATACTTTCTTATATCCTGTCTTATAATTAGCTGAAATTCTGAAATTATGAGAAACCTGTAATAACTATTTAATCTCTTATAGAAACTGTACACCGAAGGCTGGAACAAGGTCAAAGCTACAGGGTATTTTATGCCTGGAGACGCTGTACCCATCAAGCAGTGCATCCTTACGAGTAAAGTGCAAAGTAATGTAAGTAGTCGGGCAAACTTGCATCTGAAAAACCCATTCAAATTATTATTGATTTAACTCTATTTTATTGTCTGTTCTGTAGCATAAGTACCTGGAGTCATACCGCAAGCAGGTCGGTCACCACATTGGTGCCCGCAACGTAGAGGAAGACCCTCTGATTATGCTGGCTCTGAACTCAGCCAGGATTGCCAGTGACGCTCTGTACAAGAAGGACTTCAACCAGTCTAAGACCAAGTTCAACCTGCCAGTGGACATGCTGCAGTTTGAACTGGCCAAGAAATGCCAGATCCAAGTCAATGATGACAACTATAGAACTCGCCTGCACCAGTGGACTTGTCTGCCGGACCAGAACGATGTCATCCAGGCCCGCAAAGCCTATGATCTTCAAAGTGACGTAAGCAAACAAACAAGGACTTATTAATCACACTCACACAATAAACTGACAGAAGCATCTGTCTTAACTTCCTAGCTGATACATGTCTCGGTTTCTGTTTACAGAATGTATATAAGGCTGACCTGGAATGGCTCCGTGGATGTGGCTGGGTGGCAGCCGACTCTGTTGATCACGTCAAGGTCAAGAAGGCCCAGGAGATTCTCAATGAGGTATGTTTATTGTACTGCATTCTCCCTTTGGATTTTGCTGTCTCTTTTATAACATTTTACTCATTTTGGTATCAGCACATTGTGTTTTAACTTGATCCTGTAATTGTATTTGCAGAGGCTTTACAAGAAGGGTGCCAAAGAAGCCTTTGCAGGCTTCACCCTGATCGTGGACCGCCCTGAGATCGTTTTGGCAAAGACTAATGCTGCCAACCTCAGTGATGTATGTAAAATCTTACATTTAAAACGGCTGAACTTCAAAAAGCATGTTAAGAAGCAGTAATGAAATCTAAATTCTGATGTTTTCTTTCTACTACAGCTGAAGTACAAAGAGGCCTTCAATGCAGAAAAGGGTCATTACATTGGTTCAGAAGATACTCCTCAGCTGGCCCACAGCAGGGAGGCAGCTAAGATCATCAGTGAGGTAATGTAAAAATAATTAGCTAATTAATAATTTTTTTTCATTGCATATCAAATATTCTTCTTAACCTTTGTGCCTGCTTTGTGCAATTTCAGAAACTCTACAAGCAGACTTGGGACGAATCCAAGGCTACAGGCTACCAGCTAAACCATGAATACATCCCACTGGTCACCGGCAAGAAGGGCAGGGAGATTGTTAGTGACGTGAGTGTCTCACACTTGGTGCATATGGTGTCAAATGCTTTCTTTCTTACATAAATATGTAAACAAAACTAACACTTTTTTAAAATTGTGAATCCAATCAGGCCAAGTACCATAAAAATCACGAGTTGGCCAAGGGTCACTACATGGCTGGAACTCTTGTGGACTTCCCTGAAGTGATGCGCTGTGGAGAGCAAGAGAAGGGCAAAGGCCTGGTAAGATATCAATAATAGCTTTCCCATTTATTCAGCAGTATTAAGACACTAAAATACTTCAGCAATTTGCTATACAACTGCAAAATATCTAGAATTCTAGTGATTATTAACAAATAATGCTTTTAAAATCTAGATGCAAGAGAATGATGGTTTTCAGTCAGAAGGTTGCATTTACTCGTAAAGACCAGAGGCTGCAAAGCTAATTTTACTCATGTTGCATTTTTAATCATTTACATTGCCTTTATGACTGAGATTAGGATTTAACATCCTCTGCATTTCATCTAGATCTGTGTCGTGTTGTTAATCCATAGCTTTCTATGATTTAAATGCTTTTTGCAGAGGCTCTACCAGAAGGACTATCATCAAAACAAGACCAAGTGCCATCTCCCACCCGACATCATCGCTAACCAGGTTGCTAAGCGGTGCCAGGACATGCTGAGCGATGTCCTTTACCGCACCTACCTGCACCAGTGGACCTGCCATCCTGAGCAGGAGGACGCCATTCGTGCCCGCAAGACCAATGAGATTCTCAGTGATGTAGGTCCCTTTTCTTTGCACATTCTGCTCCCTGCAGTCGACTGAACTACAACTCCTCAACAGCTTTGAAATTTGAAGCAGTGTACTCAGTTTGACTGTCTTTATATGTGCGATATATGGTTGGCTTATATTTTTTCTCTTAATTAAGGCCTTTTAAAAGTGAGGGCTATTGTGATATAAGTTATTTTAAAGTTGCTCTCATTAGGTGAGAATGTTTTTGTTACTACAGTTTTTATGACAAGAAACTCTATTCCAAGTTAATTATCAATTAAATATGCAGGATATACAATAATAGAATAATCTGTAACTTTGTGCTTTTTGCTGTTGTTATGATAGGTGTTCTACAAGGATGACCTGAACTGGATGAAGGGTATCGGTTGCTATGTCTGGGACACACCGGAGATTGTGCGCGCCAAGAAGTCCTACGAGCTGCAGAGTGATGTGAGCAATAACACAAAAGATCACAGAAAGGTTATACATAATGTATGTTTTATTGAAAGTTCATTTTATAAATTTACTTGTGTTGATGTTCCCATATAGCTCAAATACAGAGACGAGGCCAAGAAAGAATTCAACAATTACTCCATTGTGACGGACACCCCAGTTTATGTGACTGCCGTCCTGGGTCACACCTGGGCCAGTGATGTGAGTGAGCTGCATTGAAAAGAACATAAATAGTGTTTAAGTTTAAAAACCATTACTGAGTGCATTAATTAAACAATTGTCTTTAACAGCTCAACTACAGGGAGGCGTATCATAAGGAGAAGCACTTGTACACCACTGTTCTGGACACCTACGATTATGCCAGATGCCACAACTTCAAACACTTCTTCAGCAACGTAAGTGAAGTGATAAATACTGCTGTCTTTAATTCAGTGACAAAACTTATGAGTGGCATTTTTTTTTTAAACCTAACAACGCATTAATGATTATATCCTGGCTTTTCTGTCAACAGAAAAACTACACTTCTGCCTGGGACAAAATCAAAGCAAAGGGCTACCAGATTCCCCATGACTCCCACGCCTTGCAGCACGCCAAAAACCAAAGGGTTGTTCTCAGTGGCGTAAGTTCAAGACTTTTGTTGATTTCATTCCATATTTTTAGTCGACTGGGTTTTTTTTCACATCTGAGTTTGACTTTTGACCTCTGAAAGACAACCTAAATCTACTTGCCCCTTTAGGTGAAGTACAAGGAGGATTATGAGAAGTTCAAATCCCTCTACAGTCTTCCCAAGTCACTTGAGGACGATCCTGCCACTGCTCGTTGCGTCAAAGCTGGAAAGCTGGTTCTCGATGTAAGTTGAATATCTTTTGCCACTTTTTCTTGCCCAGTCTGCATTTCTTCTCATGAGAAGGCACTGCACTGCACTGTAACATGCATCTGATTCATGGTGCAAACATGATGCAAGAACTGAAAGAACCACCTGCTGTCCGTCTTTACAGCGTCTGTACAAAGAGGACTATGAGAAGACCAAGGCCAAGAACCACATCCCTCCAGACATGCTGGAGATCCTGTCTGCACGCAATACCCAGTCCACCGTCAGCGGCATCAACTACCGCAAATATCTGCACCAGTGGATGTGCATGCCTGACATGCAGATGTATGTCCAAGCACGCAAAGTCAACGAGCAGCTCAGTGACGTGAGTAAAACTCCTCACCTTGGTATTCTATGCTAGTTACTGAATAGCCACAGCAGCTACACATACAAAGTTAGAGCGACATTCTTCTGTACATTTTGTCTGCTATATTATATTTAAAGATCTGATATCAATCAGTGTATCATTTTTTATCTTATACGGTGTGAGATAATCTCATATTTTAACAGAAAAACTTGTGCTTTATCTGCAAATGGTTGCAAAAAGTTTTTAATAAAATTGTTGCTGCTCTAGGATTTTGTTCCAGCTCATGGAATGTCCATACTTTTTCAATCCCCAAAACTGTCACGTTACAAACAAATCTAATGTAAACACAAAATTCACTTAACTTGTGTATTTTCTCCCCAGATCTTCTACAAGGATGATCTGAACTGGCTGAAGGGTATCGGCTGCTATGCCTGGGACACTCCAGAGATCCTGCGTGTCAAGCACGCTGGCAACCTCCAGAGTGAGGTTAGTCCACCAAGCAAATGACTTTCCACTGTTCATTCATATTCATAATCGGAAGCAATGCTGACTGCTGTGTTTTTATTTCAGAACAAGTACAGAGCCAAAGGTGTCGAATCTTTCAAAGAGTATTCTGTGGTGACAGACACTCCAGTGTATGAGACAGCCAAGCAGAACGCTCAGAACCTGAGTGATGTAAGTGACTGTTTTTTTTATTTTATTTTATTTTATTTTTTCCTAATATAATTCAATACAAACAAGAACAACACTATACAGCTCATTGTTTTTCTTCTCTTTTTCCAGCTTCACTACCGCTATGACTACAACGCCAATGTCAAGGGCACCAACACCTCTCCTGCTGTTACCATTGAGACAGAAAGAGCTCGCATGGCCAACTACATCCAGAGTGATGTAAGATGATATTCCTGTAATACTCAGCGTACTTGTTTAGGAATTATCGCCATACATATATACAGTATTGATGCTGTAAAAATGTCACGAATTGTGGCAGGAAGGAGCACCCGACACAAATATACAACGTATTATTCATGCTAAGTAACCCCACTGTGTCTCTAAAGATTATTCATAATTTGAATTCCTACTGGTCACTTGTGACTAATATGTTGACAATTAGAAGAAAAATACGTTTAAAACAATTTATGCACTTTTTTTTTTTTAGGAGTTTCAGTCTGTTTTTTAAGAGTGACAGTTTGGCCTAATTTTCCATAAGTGTATTTCTGCACATCTAGTGGTACATGTGTTTTTCAAGCTGACAAGCGAACCATCTCACCCTGTTGTGTTGGCTTCTCCCAGAACTGGTACAAGGAGGGCAACAAGCACTTCATGCCCACTGGTTACTCGCTGCCCAGCGACACCCCGCTCATCAAGCAGGCTAAGATGAACAGCGTTGTCGCCAGCAACGTAAGTCTTTCACAGTCTTGAAAAGTTTGTATATCCCATACTTTTGACAGCAATTTTTACTGGATCACACTTTATTGCTTTTGTCCGTGTAGGTGAAATACAAGGAGGCCTATGAAATGATGAAGGCTAAGGCCTACACTCTTCATCCAGAGGGTGTCAACTTTGTCAATATTAGGAAAGCCAACAAGATCACCAATGAGGTAAGAAAACACACATCTAACTTTGTTGACCCAGACATCGGTAATATTGTATGTTTGAATTACCTTGTGATACTTTTACTGGCTGATACAATCTCATATATGCTTGCTTCCCCAGCGTCTGTATCGTGAGGTCTACCAGAAACAAAAGGACAAGATCCACACAACCTACGACACCCCTGATATCAGACAAGTCAAGATGAACCAGGAGCACCTCAGCAATGTAGGGAACTATTTACACGCTGTTTATGGCCTTCATGTTGCTGTTTTTGTTTATGCTGCTTTATGGAGTTGAAAATTATTTGCTATTTATGCCACCTTTTTGTTCTTCTCTTATCCTAGTTGTGCTACAAAGAGAAATACAACAGTACCAAGGGCCAGCTGATCTCTATGCCCATTACGCCCGAGCTCATGCACTGTTACCACGTCAATGAGATCACCAGTGAGGTATGGAGAGAACATTCACAAGTTTGAAGCAGATCTACTTTAGTTAGAAAAAGTTGGTTAAAATCATTTTGTGTTTTTAGCTGAAATACAAAGAGGATCTGATGTGGCTGAGAGGCCTCGGCTGCTTCTTGTACGACACCCCAGAGATGGTCCATGTCCGCAACATCACCAAGCAGAGGGTATGGAATATCCGTTTATATCACATCCTTCCTTTTCATTCTCACTGGAGCTTGTCTAGTGGCAATTGTTTGACCTGTTTTGTTTTTTTGCTTTTACCGTGAAGGTGAACTACCCAGTGGATGCTAAGAAGAACCTTTCTAACTTCACCGTGGTCCTGGACACACCCGAGTACAATCGGGTGACTGAGTTGAAGACACACATGAGCGGCGTGAGTTGTTCTCCAAGACGCACTTCATGACTTTATATGTGTGGCTTCACATGATTTAAATAGCACACAGAAAACAAATATTGCAAACGATTTGATTTAGAGTTTGACTTGCTCTTTGACTTTCGCTCCTTTCGTTTTAGCGCGTCTACAAAGCCCAGAGCAAGGAGGAGATGGCTAAGGTTACCACCACTGTGGACTCTGTGGAGATTCTGAGAGCCAAGTGGGCCCAGCAGCTGACTAACAAGGCAAGCTCAACCACAGCACTGATGACTGGATGCATTGTATGTGTGTATCTTTCCTGCTGATCAAATCATTGTTTTGTCCTTTTATTTATAGTACATGTACACAGATCTGGCTGCAAAGGAGAGAGCTCATTTCACGCCAGAAATTGACACTCCAAATATCGGCCATGCCAGAAAAATGAAAGTGGTCTGCAGTGATGTAAGTCTTCCCTTTCAATATTATTTCGTTGTTGGGTTTTGTTGCTGTTTATCAGAGGCTACCTTTATTATCTCTCACCTCTGTAGAATTCAGGTTAAATAATAATTTGTATTTTTATTCAATGACATTAAGCATCATACTTTCTGCTACAGAATTTGAATGACTGATGTATTGCATAAATTTTTCCTTTCCTCAGAACAAATACAAGGAGCAGTATGAGAAGATGAAGCACAGGTACACTGCCATTGCTGATACACCTATCCTGATCCGTTCCAAGAAAGCCTACCTCCAGTCCAGTGATGTGAGTATGCTCATTAAATAACCCCAGGAAATCTGAGGCTGAGGCTATATCAAATTATTTTAGGACTTTAAGTGAAATTTTGGTATTACTGGTCAGTGTTGCTCAATAGATTTTAAAGCAGTAGAAATTGGCTACATTTAAAGAATTTCATTAGCTTATGGTGAATTTCTGTTGCCTATGATGGTCTAAATATTGGTTTTGCTTGTTTTAATTCTAACTTTCCAGCATTCCACGACACACTACTTGTAAAAACCAGTGCAAAAATCTGGCTTTTGCCTTTGAATAATAATGACCAATATAAAAATGCTGCAATAAATTCAGCTGCTTCTGTTTGGGTTTGATAAACATCTGACACATTTTGTATTTCATGTCTTTAGCTGCGTTACAAGGAGACATTTGAGCTTTCCAAGGGCCACTACCGCACAGTCAAGGATGCTCTGGACATCACCTACCACCGCAGAGTCACTGACGACATCAGCGAGGTCAGCAAATGAAATTAGCTGCTTCATTTTTACACTTAAAATATACATAACTTTTATTTGAGCTCTTTCATCTCATTTACTGTCTCTCTCTGCATCTCTTTACCTCAGGTTAAATACAGGGAAAAGTACATTAACAGTCTGGGTACATGGAAGTCCATCCCAGACCGTCCTGAGTTCTTCTTCAGCAGAATTGTCAACGATAACGTCAGCAACGTAAGTAATCGTGACTTAAATTATACACCGCATGTTAAAATATTCACAGTAGATAGAAGGATATATATTATCATTGACATACTATATAAATTAAGATAAGATAAGCCTTTATTAATCTCACAGTAAGAACAATTGCAGTGTTCCAGCTACAAAAAGGAATCAAGCAAACATGTAGAGAACATCAGTAGGAAGTAACAATAAACAACACATTTTGATGATGATTTTTACATATGTGAATATTCAGATACTGCACAGATTTCTCTGGATGGGTATAATAAAACAACAACATTGCACTTATTTATGTATTATAGTATTGTGCAGATTCTTCTATAACTAAAAACACTGTCATAAGAAGTACTGACATTGCACAGATTTGTGTATTTTGAGAGAAGTTGACTTTGCACCAAATATTCATCATGCATGGATTAAATGTTTCGATGATGCACCAGAGTGAAATATGTCTATGTATCTCGTTTTAGGTCAAGTACAAGGAGGACCTGGAGTGGCTGAAGGGTATCGGCTGCTTTGTGTGGGACACACCTGAGCTGGTGCAGGCTGAGAGGAACAAGCAGCTGTACAGTGAGGTGAACTATCAATTTAGTTCATAATTTACTATTTATAATGTCAGTAATATTTTAAAATCTTGTCAAAGTGCTTATTTGTTTATTTCTTACTCAATAAATACCATATATTGCCTTTTATATCACACCTTCTTGTTGCAAGTAAGTTTTTTTTATTGTAGTCTATTCATCTTATTTCAATCTTTGATGTTGTGTTCTATGTGTTTTTGCTAACAGAGACTGTACAAAACTTCCTTTGAGAAGAACAGAGCCAACTTCAAGTATACTTGCGACACTCCATTCTTCCAGGCTGCCAAGAATGCCTCCATTCTCATCAACGATGTGAGTTCCTTCATTCTTTAACCAAATACAGTTATTAAAAAATCGATGTAATTAGTTTGTTGAATCCTATTTGTAAAGCAGACTGTGAAATTATTAACTACAATTCTATGTTTTTGCATCTCTATCGGACTCTCAGTGTGAAGGTAAAATATGTATTGCTTTATTTTGTCTTTTGTTTCTGTTTTGTGTAGCCATAAAGTGTTTTAAATGTGTGAATTTATCTTCATATCAGCTTGTTTTAAACCTCCTTTCTTCCCTGAAAAGTTTAATCACATGAGAAGGGCGCTGCTTTTTCTGGACATTTGTTTTTAACCACCTTCTGACATTCTGAGCAGAGGGCCTACAGAGCTAATTATGAGAAGACCAAGGATAAGTTCACCATTACTACAGAAGATCCTAGATACCAGCTGGCCAGGGAAAACAGGAAGATGAGCCAGGTAAACGTCCTGGTTGTGTTGACCGACCGGCCTGTTTCGCCCGCTGCTACCTCCAGTCCGTTGCCTCCAGACCTCTGACACTGGTGCATGAGGTTGTCGACAGACCTGCTGATGGTGGTCGTCGCATGGCTGTCATAGTGCCTTCATAATGAAGACCAATCTCTACTTTTAGTCTATCTCCCTTTTCATCTCTTACAGGTCCATGTGAATAGCGCCACTCAAATAGCAGCGAGATTGCTATCTTGAGTGAGCATGATTCTTCTTTATCTGTTCCATCAGAAAGACATATTAAAGATTTATTCAATTCCACTTAATATGTCCAAACAGATCTTCTGATTTTTCAAATTTATCATAATTAAAGATGATCATTTGTAACTCTGGGGCACAGATAAAGACAAACAGCTCCATCGTCGCACTTGGATCTCCGGAGTTCTCCTCCAGTCCTCCCAGTGTTACTGCTGTTTTACGTTCATATCCTCAATTTTGGCATGCTGTGTGTGTTTGTTGTTGTTGTTGTTGTGTGTGGACAGGGAATGTATAAATCCAGAGCAAAGGATCTACTACGGAGTGGCTGCAATGAGCTACTCCGCCCTGACATCCTCACAGCCCTTTACCAGTCCACTATGGGCAGTAAGGTAAACAGCCAGAAAGCAGTGAACTGTGGTGATTCTGATCCCTGTCCACAAACAGACGAGAAAAACAGCCCCTGTGTAGTTTTTGGTCATAATTGGCGGTGATTTTCTCCCTGCTCTTTACTGTTTATGGACAAGGTCGGATCACATCAGATACTCATCCCCTTTCCATCCATTAAGTCCACTTAAAAGTGATTTTAACTTCCATAAATTCCATGTGCTAATCACTCCATCACTTATTCACTTCTCTTCATGATTCCTTGATCACTGAAACTTTAACTCATCTCAAAATGTGGTGCAGTATTTGCCCATTTGCATACAGAAACGTGTCCAAAATGCAGCAAATTGCAGGAATTGATGCTTTTGCAGGCATTGTTTATCTGTGCGTTAGTCACCTGTTGTATAGTTAGACATTTCTTAAAGCCTAGAAAGCAAGTTTTTAGTTTTTAGACTTTTTTTTTTTTTTTTTTTACATTTCTTAAAGCCTAGAAAGCAAGTTTTTAGTTTTTAGACTTTTTTTTTTTTTTTTTTTTTTTTTTTTTTTTTTTTTTAAATCTCAATTAAAGGGCCAAAGGCAATATTTAAAAAAACAAAAAAACAAACACTTTCACAGTTTTTTCAAGTGTACACATTTTCTTTATTGAAGCAACACTGTTATTATATCAGCCTCAGATTCGATAAGCAGTAAATAGAATAAGTTGGATTGCTGGTCTCCAAGAACCATGTGGGCACTGCAGGTAACATATGTCCTTGTCTTCATTTTCACCTGGAAAAATAACTCTCTCTATGTTTGCATGTGTTTCATGAAGCATGTTTTTCTAAACTTTTCCATGACACCACTTCACTCACTACACATCCTGTAGTATTTCTAAGTAGTGACAGGTCACACACTGCATGCTAGTTCACTGTTTCTGACTTTGCTCTGATACTGTTAAAGGAACTATCCAAGAAAAACAAGAACAAAAAGAAAATGGTTAAATCGTTCTTACACATTAGCTTCATTATGTAAAAACAGAATGTAAGTAGTTAAAGTCAGCTTATCTAAATCATCTAGATTGACTACAATGTGTCTTTTTTAGAATATATTTCCAGCTTTTCTTGGATGTTTTTTATATTTAATGCATAGATTAGAAGCAAGACAAGTTGTCAGAATACACATACAAAATTGACTACAGTGGCAATTTCATTACGGCGGATTCTAACTTTCTTGCGTTTACACGTTATCCTCCATCAGTGGAGGTACAGGGAGCAGTACGAACGTGCCAAAGACAAGTTCACCTCTGTCCTGGAGACCCCCGAATATGAGACCCACAAGCGCAGCAAGAAGATCAGTGATGTAAGTTTTGTCTTGCTGCTTTATTAAATCCACTATTCCTCTATGATGTTTTTATTTATTTTGGTTTGTGTTGAATTTCTCCTGACTATTTGATGATGTTTTTTTTCCTCAGATCATCTACAAAATGGAGTACAACAAGACCAAGGCTAAGGGTTACACCTTGCCTTATGACACTCCACACCAAAACCACATGAAGAAGGTCAAGGAGATCACCAGCAATGTAGGTCCCACTCTGACTGACTGCACTTCCAACACTTTTTTTTTTCTTTACAGAGGAATAAGAAGCCAAAATATGACATGCTTGTTTGTATTTGATTGTGTTTTTTTAATGCATCTTGCAGCTGAAGTACAAAGAGGTGTATGAGAAGAGCAAAGCCCAGATCAACATGGACCCTGAGGCTCATGAGATTCGTGCCGCCAAGGAGGCCTACAGGAACATCAGCAATGTAAGCATCTTCGGTGACACTATTAAGAAATGTCACCTTCTGTTCATTATTTAACTGGAGCTAAACTCAAAATACTTTCTTTTTCTTTAATTTAGCTTGACTATAAGAAGAAGTATGAAGCAACCAAAAACAAGTGGATCTGGACTACTGACAGACCTGACTTTGTCAACGCTGCCAAAAACACTTTGCAACAGAGTGATGTGAGTTGGTGCTTCTATTTTTAATGTGTCATTGAATTTTTTTTTCTTTTAATTTTAACAACATGCATCAGTTTTGTTCTGACTTTTGTCCCATTGTTTTATCCCACAGGTTGAGTACAAGTATGACAAAGAGATGATGAAGGGCTGTGTGATACCTGTAGTTGATGACAAGTACACAATCCTGTACAAGAAGAACGCTGAAATTGCCAGTGATGTAAGTTTTCCCCTTCTTTATTAACAACTTTATGATGTTTCTGAACATTGTTTAGAATGTGTTAATTTACATGTCGTAAACTGATATTGTATTATTTCTTTCCTCCAGGTCAAGTACAAAGAGAAGTATGAGAAATCAAAGGGCCAGTATGTGCCTGTTCAGGATACTCCTCAGATTCTCCATGCCAAGGCTGTGCGTACTCTGGTATCAGAGGTAAGAACCAGTCCATGGAAAATCTACCAGTATGTGTACACTCTTGAGTAAACCTTTGTCAGTTACAGGTTTAAAAAAAAAAACATACATGACTGCAACAATATTTCTGCTCTTTATATCGTTTCTCAGAGCAAATACAAGGAGGCCAGTAAGAAGGACATGCAGTCCGGCTCCTTCACCACCTTGTCTGAGACTCGTGACACTGCTCACAGCAAGGAGATCAACAAGCTTATCAGCGGGGTACAGCTGTCACACATGTGTTTTACAAAATGAGTACATCCATCCCATAATCCGGGACTCCTTTCTGTGCAGTCGGCTTGACATTCGGTTTTCTCTCAACAGAAACTGTACAAAGCCAAGTTTGAGAAGGAAAAGGGCAAGTCAGTGTACAACAACATGTTGGTGCCACCTGATGTTCAGCACGCAATGGACGTGGCCAAGAATCAGAGCAATGTGAGTCATCTCCGCAGTTGTTGGGATAGTTTCACAGTTTCTCTCATGTATCTTTTGATGTTGGGCTCAATTTTTGGCACAAACTGTATTGTATCTGGATTTCTGCCAAACCCCACAGTTCGCCTATAAGAAAGATGCCAAAGCCAACCTGCACTACACCTCTGTAGTCGACCGTCCTGACATCAAGAAAGCTACTCAGGCTGCGAAACTTATCAGTGAGGTAAATATCAAGTGCTTGTATGACACTATTTGCAGGTTAAAGATTAAAATCTGTACGCACAAAGGTGCTTAAAACCTATTAACCTGTACATATACAAGGTTGTGTTTTACACACCTGTGACTACACAAGCCCGTTTTTTTTAGGTTGCATAGATGTAGACTCACCCTTTAAGTGGTAATCTCAAGATTTTCATTTACAAAAGTCTGTTAAATAAGACTTGCTCTAGAACTCGCCTGTATCTGAAGTGCGTACTGCTTTTTAGATTTGCAAGGAAATGTCACTATGGTTTAACAAAACCAGCTGACTGTCAGCATCATTCATCTCTGGGATGTGAGGATGAAAAACACACCTGCAATTGCCACTTATCGCCATTGGTGCTGCCAAGAAGAAGAATGTACCTTTGAGATGGCCGCTTTAAACAGATATTTTCAAATGAATATGTGATAATACTCAACTGCTCATTGCAAGATATTAAACCTTTAAATCAGGCAAAGCAAAGAAGAAGAGAAAATCACCATCCATTGTACAGAATTTCAATGCAAAAGCAATGATTAGACCTACAAATATAAAATAAAGAGTCACGACCACATACTAAGCTGCTTCGCTGTCGAACTGAGAGATACAGAAAGTCATTCCTGCCAACAGCCATCACCTTAAAAAACAAATCTGACTGACTGACAATTAACTGACTGAATGATTGTGTATAAAATGATGTTGTATAAAATATATGTTATATTGATTTTATTTTAAAAAGTGAGCTTTTACAAGATTGAATTTCCCTTCTGGGATAAATGAAATATTTTTCATTTTATTTCATACTGATCACTGAAGTCTGTACACGGTCCGCTGATTCTTGTTGTGTCCGTCAGGTTGGCTACCGTGAGAAGGCCCGTGAAGAGGCCAGCCGTGGAGGTTCTCTGGTCCACCGCCCAGACATCGCTTTGGCAACTGAGGTGTCCAAGCTGACCAGCCAGGTACACCAAACTAAATGAACCATTTGTCTCATGAAGCCTGGTGCCAGCTGTGTCACTTTCCCGCTGGTGTCCTATAATTGTAATCTCCTAGAAAAAGTCTCTCTAATTTATGTATTTACTTTTACGACTGCTGGAATTTAGCCAATGGCAGCCACTTTCCACCGGCAAGGGTCAGCTGCCTGGGGTTCATTAATATTTGCAGACGAGTATTGCTGTGGTAGATGCTTAGCAGCAGTCCTGTTGGCCTAATGATAGAACTAAGAGCTCTTCCATAGCGCTGCCTCTGCCATCCTGCACTATAATCCATGTCTTCATCTGTCACTGTGACTCCATGAAAGTAGATGTGTATGTTTAACTGCTCATATCATTGAACTTGTCCCACCCCTTTCCTTAAACCTGTCCTCCTACACTTCTCCTCTTCCTACATCCTTCTACACTTACCTAATCTCTCCGCTCTCCTTTCTACTTATACAATGTCCTAGTCCGTGTGTTCTCATCCCTCCATCTCACTGCGCTTTGTAGGTGGAGGCCAAGACCTCCCTCCATGGAGCTGCTTCCTATGATACCCCCCAGATGCGCCACATTAAGAAAATGAGTGCGGTGACTAGTGATGTAAGGAGGTTCATGCCCTAAAACTGAAGGGCTGCTGCTACATGTCTGTGTTCTCTGTCTTTCTGTTCCCGTCCCATCAACTCCCGTCCCAACAATTGATTTTACAGCAGAGTTCTCTGAGCCTTGAATGCAAAACATAAGAAACTTCTCTACAATAATAATAATTCACATCACCAAATCTTACAAAAAGATTTGCCTTGCAATTTGTTTTTGCAGTTTAGCAGTCTGTGCACCCTCTACTTTTTTTTTTTCTCCCTTCCTTGAGAAGCTCTGGCTCATTGCTAAGCATAGACAAGAGCATTACTGCATTAGCTGTACTGGTGCTAATACTGTATGTTTATTTATATTTGTATAATTTTCCCACTTTCCTCCCCCAAGTCTCTTAGTCAGTCTGTTTCTGAATGTCAAAAGGAAGGATTTTATGAAAATGAACAAGCTCCCTGCATCTGAATTCTTCTTGAAAACATGTGTAAATCTAGCAGTCAGCTACTCCCTGCTTCATTTTAACCTGAACATTGGAGGGCAGTGAAAACCCTCATAAATTCTGATACCATTCTAAAAAAGTGAAGATGAATTTATAATTATTGCTAGATTTACACATGCTTTTTTATACCATGTCTCACCTTCTTTCTAAAGCTGTTTGATCTGCAGATTGAAAGAACAGTCACCTCCCTCCCTGAAACATGACCACAAACATTCTGCCACATCTTCCATATATACTCTATTATATATGAAGTCCACGTTTGTGTTTATGTGGAACGCAGAATGTTGTATTCGGCTCTGGTCACACTAAAATGCATCTTGTTTGACAATATCAAAAGTGGATGTCTTTGAACATAGATATAAATATCACTAGGAACACATAAACAAATCAGCACCGCAATACTGAGTAGTGTCAACTCTAACAAATCAGAAATATTTACTTCTCAAAATCAAGAACAAAATATCCACTCCATTCACAGGTTAGGAGAAATTTCCAACTGATAAAATCAGATGTTCACACCGTTTCTTGCCATCTAGGAGTAAATAGCACTGCGATTGCTTAGAAGTAAAGTGATACATGGGGAGAAAAATAGTTTAGGAGAAACACAGCTTCACTACAGATGTTTTTCTTGCATAGCAAACAAGTAGAAACTAAAGTTGCATTTTCATACTTCACATACAGCACACAGCATGTGAAAAGCTTTTACACAAAGACTATTTGTGAATGACTAATCCTTTTGTATACATTGTCAAACACATGATGTTGTCCTATAGCTGATTCCACTGTGATGGAGTCTGTACATCGACAGCTGGTGTTGGTGTCCTCAAAGTTACTGCTGATACTAACTTTCACATTTATCCAACCACAATAGGTGAAGTACAAGGAGAAGTTTGATAAGGAGGTGAAAGGAAAGAAACCACAATATGACCTGAAGGAGAGTAAGATTTACAAGACTTTGAAGGATGCCAATACACTGGCTAGTGAGGTAGGTGATCACCTAACTGCAATCATTTCACACCATTACTGTTAAGATTTCCCCATTTCATTCACCAGCTTTTGGTTCTTTGGGAGCTTTTTAGAGCTTAATCACAGTGGGACAAAGTAACTGATGCGTTTTAATCTCTGTCTACTGTTTGAAGATTTGTTGGATGAACAAAGTAACATAGTTTTCCAATAAAGTGAGCTAGACAAGGCCAGTCTTAGCCTTTATTGTAAAACTCTTTCAAAATCTTTGTGGCTTTGTCTCACTCTTAGTGAACATAAAATGGACGTATCAATTGCCCAAAAACTAAAGATTCTTACTCAAGACACATTCTGAATAATTTGGTCTCATGTTTATTGGTCCTTTTATTATGTCTTTTTTTCTGTATGTGGTTTGTTTTATCTGTTAGAGTATGGGTCGGTTTGTTAATGTTTTTGGTTTTTTTCTCAATTTTTTTTAATATAATGAAATAATAATAATAAAATTCCACACAATCTAGTAAACACTTTAAGCAGGTGAGAAGGCAAGTTTATTTATATAGCACTTTAATCATACATAGAAGTTATTCAAAGGCATTCAAATCTTTTCTGGTAAAAGTAAAAAAAAAAAAAAAGGTAAAATACAAAATACAGCAAAAGAACATAAAATAAATCCATTCATCCATTATCTATACACTGCTTAATCCTCACTAGGGTTGCGGCGGGGCTGGAGTCTATCCCAGCTGACAGGTCACCAGTCTATCACAGGGCTACACTTAAAGACAGACAACCAAGCACACTCACATTCACACCTACAGACAATTTAGAATCACCAATTAACCTCAACATGTTTTTGGACTGTGGGAGGAAGCAGGAGAACCCGGAGAGAACCCACGCTGCACGGGGAGAACATGCAAACTCCTCACAGAAAGATCCCGGGTGTCCTCACACATAAAATAAATCAACTAGTTAAATCAAAAAGTACAGACACAAATTTTGTAGAATAATTAAAACTGTGGTTTAAGACAAACCCTAATTAAGCAGTTTTTTAAGCTAAAAGACTTTTGTCTCCAAAAATCTATCATAAATCCACATTAACAGTCTGAGGAAGTCAAATTTCAAATGCAAATGTCACCTGCTGTGAGTTGTGAAAATTTAAAATTGCAGTATTTGTTAATACAACCCACAGGTGAAGTACAAGGGTGACCTGAAGAAGATTCACAAACCTGTTACCGACATGGCCGAGTCTCTGTCCATGCAGCACAGCCTGAGCACCAGCAAACTGTCCAGCCAAGTAAGCTCTCATCAGCCTTTAACCCTCTCACATCCCCACCCAGGAAGCTGCTGCGGCTCCGTTTCAGTGCTCCTTCTGTGGTTCACTGAAATGTTCCTGAACTCAGCGCTTCCATCACCTCATAGTAACAACTCGACATGGTGTAGTTATTCATTGATTTATTCACTAAGCTCCATCATCCAAACCTCCATCATTCAAACCTCCATCATTCTGTCACCTCATCTGGTAGTGATCCTTACCCTTCTCACCTGTACTATCACCTTCTATAACCTCTATTGCTTCACTTTTTCCTCCCATAGTTCAGAGAAAACTTTCTTAATGACCACTTAACACACAAAACCCCCTTCTCCTCCACTGATTTAAATCATTCTTCATACGATTTGTAACTCCCCCCAAATAATTCTCACTTAAGTTTTAAGGTTGCTATTTCTGTTTCCATCACAAAATATAAAGCATTTTCTGCTATGTAATGAATGAGAGTAAACTCCGGAGAGACATTCTTCTTCTCATTTGCTGTACTGAGCTGCTTCACTTTACTGGGAATTCCCTGTAGTACCGCTACAAGAAGAAATTTGAGGAGAGTAAGGGTCACTACCACATGATTCCTGACACACCAGAACAGCTCCATCTCAAGGAGGCTTCTGAACTTCAGAGCAACGTAAGTGGTTCCAACTCTGGGGGTCAACAAACACTCCACCCACCTAAAAACACAACTGTGGATTTCAACTGTCGGCCACTTTCTTGTCAAACAGATGTATGTACAATATCTGCTTCTCAGGACTTAATTTCCTGCAATTAAAGGGGGACAGTGCTAAATTTGTTAATCATTTTAGTTGGTGGCTTAAAACTGTACCAGTGGGTTGTAAATAAGCTTCAAGCTTACTCTGATACAACAGCTGAAATGGAAACACAATTGTTTATACTGCCCATCGTTGCTCTTAAAAATGAATCTAAAATCTGAAAAATTTACGGTCAAATACAAACATATATATATATTTATTTATTTTTTATTTTTTTAATATGAATTCAAACATTATTTAGAGGACCACAGCGGGGGTTTTATCCATTCACGTACAATCATGTAAACATAAAATTGCTGTTAACCGTTTTTCAGTTTGATATTGTGTTTCAGATTTTGACATTTTCTATCATTATAGTATAAAATAGTCAACTATTAAATCATTAAAACATGCCCGAGTTGTGCAATCCTTCCCAATAGACAAACAAAGCAGGCCTCGTGAATCTATCTGCATTTACATGAATAATATGGAGACCCTGTCTGGTGAACAGCAAGTTTGTTAGCTTGTTAACTCTCTAAAATGAACAAATCCTGTTAGTGTCTATAACATTATTCTTCTTTACAACTGGTTTCTGGTAACATGTACACATTCTGGAGGGAGCAACGGTCTAGAGTCACATGTCAGGCGTTTTAAAGCATGAAGGGAATGTTTTCATGGTTAGCAAAAACTTCTACATATGAAAGTTTGATACACAGAGATGAGTTTGTAGGAGTTTAATCAATGACCAGAGAGGTGCTTTAACTTTGAATGAATGCAGTCTTGAATCATACTGTGATAGATTATGTCTCAAGCACGTCACAATTCTCCTTTTTGATATTCCTTCCATACAAAATTTAATGGAAGCCAACATAGTTTAAAAAAAAAAAAAAAAAAACAGGCACCGCCTTTTAAATAGGGTTATTATTATCCTTTTACGCATTTCAAGCTGTGTACATTACTCACTACATGCGCACACAATCCTGCACACTGTAAATGTTTCATTTACTTTTTATTACTTTCAGAATTCCCTGGATTTGCTATACTTGATTCTGTTTTGTCTTGTTACAACTACTATATATTGACTTGCAGCATATATAAAATATTTTCATTCTTTAAAAAAAAAATCTACTTGTCAGTGTTATGCACCAAAACGCCACATCAAATTCCTCATTTATAAAAACCTACTTGGCAAAAACAAACTGCTCCTGGTTTCTCACAGTTGACATCACGTTTGTGTGGCCGTTGCAGGTGAAATACAAGGAGAAGTATGAGAAGGAGAAGGGCAAACCCATGCTGGACTTTGAGACGCCCACATATGTGACTGCTAAGGAGGCCCAGCACATGCAGAGCCAGGTAAATACGTCTGTCATCAAAGTGTCTACAGGTCTCGTACATTTTCTTTTACAGGCCTCTCTCCCAAGACTCTCAAGTGCCTCCTTACACTGTATATTAACCTGTATTGTGTTGCCTCTTGTTGAATGTCAATTTATTGTTTCTATTACACTTACAGAATGTTTCTGAAGTTTGGAAGAACATTTCACAGTGCCTGTAAAGCTCGTTCATTGCATCTAGTCTGCAGCTTTGTAGCTGAAGCCGCTTGTGATTCGTTAATTACTTTCATTTTTGACAATTTAGGTCAACCCTAAGTCACATCATTCACCCCTTTCCAAAATGATTTGTTCTTAGGTTAAAAACTAGAAGAAGGCAGTGTAAAATGTGCTGAAATTAAACTCACCGACCAGCTCGTGTATTGTTCCCTAATACTGTGACAGCTTAATTTTCCTTCCATGATGCAGGTAAAGTATGTGTCTGTTGCAGTCTCTGGATGGATTATAGGTTTCACTGTGGTTAATTACAATCAGGTTAATACTTTTATTTTCATCCTCACATAATCTGGTTGAATCCAGACGCCACACTGTTTCTTTTTTTGCAATAAACACCTCCTATACTCCACACATGCACTTAAATACTCACATTTAAAAACTGCAGATACAGAAATGAGCGAACTGCTGTAAACAAGGATGAGGTAACTGCATTGTGAACTAGCACTTGCTTGCGTGTGGTTGTCTGAGCTCTGTCTGTCCCTTGTTTTATCTTTGCGGCTGATAGAAAGACTATAGGAAGGACTTTGAGGAGTCCATGAGGGGAAAGAACCTCTCAGGCTTGGAGGTCACCCCTGCCATGATTCATGTCAGACACGCCACCAAAATAGCCAGTGAGGTAACTAAAGGACAATTTATCCCCAATCAATCCTCCCTATTTACCTCACCCATGTTTTATAATCATACTAAGACCACATCTCAACCACAATCTCTTTTTTTCACCACTTTTTATTTAATCCCACAAGTGTTTCCTTCTTTCTTCGCCTTTAGTAGGTTCACTTATGAGGTTTAGTTATAATTCTTTTGCATGATTTACCACACACTAATAATGCTACAACATCTATCCACTTTCCATCCTTTCCTTACAGTGAAGAAGTCACTGAATGTTGTGAATTTCTCTGTTTTTATGTGCATTGACACCTTGAACTTTTCATTTTAAGCCTTCATCTAGTAGGAGACTACCAACAACCTGATGTAACAACAACTTGCATGCTTGCATGTGTTCATCTGAGTGATGTTTTAAAGGTGAAATGCTTTCTTGTTTTCTTGTTGTCCTTGTTCTTTTGCTCTTGTTTTCATGCCTTTTCTGATGAAAATGTGGTTCATCTTGTCTTTTATTCTGATTCTTGCCAAAGTCACTGATTTCTCCAATTGCTCTCTGAAAACAGCACTGATTTGAACAAACTTTACTTAGAAAAATGCTCAAATTTCTTATATTTGGGAGGTTTGGTGACTTTGAGCTTTAATGGCAAGCAGCAGAGCTTGCCCACTGTATTGTCTGTCTGTATGCCTTGGCCTGGCCTGCCTGTGTGCCCTTCTCTGCAGTCTCTCTGTTCTTCTTCCGTCCTGTAGAGAGAATACAGGAAGGATCTAGAGGAGGGAGTGAAGGGTAAAGGGCTAACTGCACTGGAGGAAACTCCGGAGCTTTTGAGAGCAAGGAATGCCACTCAAATCCTGTGTGAGGTACGACTGACTGAGAGGTGATGGAAGTGGCATCACGCTCTAATCTGAGTGGCTTCCCACAAATCCCGCTCCTGATGAACCCTTGTCCCCTCTTAACTCAGTCTCATCATCACACTAAAACTGCGACTGCTGGATTGAACTCTTGTGCTTTTTCCTGCTTCGTGACATCACTAATTTTCCAGCACATTCCTTTTCCTGATGTTCATAAAATGTTCTCATTAGCATCACTTAACCATCATCCTTACGCTGTATTGATTTTCTTATTTTAAGTCTGATAAATACTCTAAAAAACAACCTCAAATATACTCAGATATGCTCTTATTTTCTCTTGATTTCTGATAAAACATGTAAAGTTGTATTTTATAGGATTTTATTCTGAGACTTAATTGTATAGAACAAGGACTGCATCAAAGTCTAACTTCAACACTTTAATTGGACAGTAAAATAAACTCTGGGTGTTTGAGGTTGATTTTCAGAACGCAGTTTAGATGTAGAAATGTAAAGCAGAGATTGCTTAATGAATAAAATGAAGAAGGAGAAAATGTAGGCTTGGTGAAATTACTAATTATGCTTTAATCTACTTTCTTTAATTGTTTTATTTTTCAGTTTTGCTTCCCACATGATCTGCTGTTCGATTACCACATCTGTTCCCTAATTTCTGCTAACCTGCTCTATTCACTGTTCCCTTAGGTGTTTTGCAGCCCTCCTCAATGTGAATGAGTAGAAATCCTGTTGTTTGTAATATTCTGCCAGTCATTCCTGCTACTAACAAACATAGCGATTAAATGGGACAATCTGTAACCTTTCAACTTTACAGAGAGAGTACAAGAAGGCGCTGGAGCAGGAGATCAAGGGCAAGGGAATGCTGGCTTTGGCTACAGACACCCCAGACTTCATGAGAGCCAGGAATGCTACTGACATCCTCAGCCAGGTCTGGATCTTATTGTGTTATCAGATTGTTTGCACAAAGCTGGAGTTTGCCGAGGCACATATTGGTTTCCTCTGAGCTGACTGACACTTTCTTTTCCCCCTTAGACTAAGTACAAACAGACCGCTGAGATGGACAGAGCCAGCTACACGACTGTCATCGACACCCCTGACATCATCCACGCTCAGCAGATGAGGAACATCGTTAGCCAGGTAGACAAGTGAATTTACTGATCTTCACTCCGATTAAAGCTTAGAAATATAATGTCTTTGTTAGAGATAGACCGTTTATTGACCTGGCCGATAATCCTGGCCGATACTTGGCATTTCCCAGATTATCGGTATCGTTATTGGCCAATTATTGATAAATTTAAACTTCAGATCTGATGCAGCCTCCTCTCTCTGTCTGTCGTCACTCTGTGATCTTAGAAATGTCTCTCAAGCAGAGACTGCAAAATCTGAACAATAAACACAAACCAGGGAATTAGTTTCTCTCACAGTGGCTAAGGCTATGTTAACGGCCAGCAGCTAAGTTAGGCAGCAGCCACGAATTATCCTAAAAAAGCGTCTGGAAAATAATAATTACTAATGCTTTAAGACACGGGTGGCGAATCCTGGTCCTCGAGGGCCGCAATCCTGCATGTTTTAGATCAGGGGTCTCGAACTCCGGTCCTCGAGGGCCACAGTCCTGCAAGTTTTAGATGTTTCCTTCTTCCAACACACCTGATTCACATGATCAGGATCGTTATCAGGCTTCTGCAGAGCTTGATGATGAGCTGATCATTTGAATCAGGTGTGTTGGAAGATCTGAACCTTAGTGGGCAATTAAAGTGACAGAACAGTGAAAGATTAAGAAAATAGAGAAGAACAGCGCCGTATCTACAGGTGACACACTGATCACTCTCAGTCGATCCCACATAAACAGTGGAGTGTCCTTTTTAAATCACTCCTATTTCTGTTTCACAAAAATGTAGTTACAGTCACCCTTATTAATGAAAAACCCTAGTTATGAATGCCAGTTTCTCTGCTATTATATGCTGTTAAAACATTATACTCCAAATATTGGAAATGGGTTTTTCTATATTATCAAGAATCGGACAACAAAACAAAAAACAAAAAAACATATCAGTCTAGCCCTAATCTCCCTAACAGACCCATTCCACACAAATCAACAGATTTTTCTCTGTTTTAATTGATGTTCCTGATACTTATATTATTCCTCAAACAGAAAAAGTACAAAGAGGAGGCTGAGAAGACCATGTCTCACTATGTACCAGTCCTGGACACTCCCGAGATGCAGAGAGTCCGTGAGAACCAGAGGAACTTCAGCACTGTAAGTAATAAAGGATAATGCATGCTGGTTCTTTATGGATCAGCATTTTCTGGACCGTTGTAGGTCTTAAAATATGAATTCTTCCAGTGTCTGGTGGCTTTGTGTTTGTTCCAGTGTCTGGTGTAAAATATTATCTTAAATACTTTACACTGTGTTCCGTCCTTCTTATGATGTTGTCCAACTCAGTTGACTCCAGATATGTGTTTGGTGTCAATGTTTGCACTCAAAGCAGTACAATATGTTTTAGTCAGGAATATAACTGAAAGTTGCTAATTATGAGTCAAGCTAAGGTACTTTTTTTTTCAAGTGGTTTCTTTTCTTACTCTGTTTTCTTTTTTGGTTTTATTTCTTTATCACTGTGAAACATTTTAACTGCACTTTTGTTTTTCTCCCTGTAGCATCTATACCAGGTTGACCTTAAAAACATAAAGGGCAAAGTGTCTACTGTAAAGGACACTCCTGAAATGCTCCGTGTTAAAGAGAATACAAAGAATTTCAGCTTGGTATCTACTCCATAATATATATATTTTTAATGTTTTCTAACAACACTTTTTGTTGTTTTGGGTTTTTTACTTCTTTTTTTTTTTTGCTCTGTTTTTCCTCATTTTTAACAAACCCTGATATGCAGCCCTCATTTCTTTGGAGCAAACAGATTTTTTTTTTTTTATCTTAGTAGCACATGCAGCATTTTAATTCACGCAACTAACCCTGGACATTTGGTTCTATAGTGTAACATCTGTACTTGTTAGTGCAGCTTGTGTGTTGTTCAAGCTTTGTTCACTGTACTCTGTTGTCCAAGTATTCAGGCAAATTGTGTGCCTGTAAGTGTTTGTCTATATACCTGTAACTTTCTATGTGGTTTTGTTCATGTGTGGTCCAAAGATGCATTACAGCTCAATCAGCCGTAATTTAGAAATCAAATCAAGCACCTGGTCCTCATTATGTAAAATTCAGGCTAACCAATGGCTGATACTTTCATTCCTCGTCCATATAAAGATTCAGTACAAAGAGGATTTGGGAGGTGGAACAGCTTTGCCCGAGACCCCTGAGATGGAGAGAGTTAAACGTAACCAGCGGAACATTAGCACGGTACTCTACAGAGTGACCTGCCCTCATTCATCTCCTCCTCCACCAGTCCTCCCTCCATATTCCCTCCATGTGTAGTTCACCAGACTGAATTATACCAGACATGACATGTAATCTCTTCAACTCACCATTTTCAATTCAATTTTTCACTGAGATCTTTTTTTCATTTGTAATATATTACCTTTTTTACTTTAATGGAGCCCCTAAAAGCCCCAAATGTTTTTCTTAACAGTGGAAACATTTTTTTGTAGGTGCTTCTTTGTCCAACTTCATTTTCTTGTAATCACAATATACTAGATGGTCAGAAGTATGTGGAGACTGCTGTCTGCATACAGTTCTCTTGGTTTGGGGTGGATTTTCATGGTTTTAGTATTTACTTATTTCCAAATAAGGGAAATCTTGATGCTCTAGCAGGAATGTGTGCAGAGCTGAACCCTGACTGGGAGCCAGGACTCATCACACAGTAGTTAACCCTATTAATGTTCTTGTGGCAGTAAGGGACCAAGGTGTGAATGGTGATATTACTGCCTGGGGAGGGATGTCAGGACTGCATTACAAGTAGCTGATAAGTGGTGTTTTAGAGCGTTACTCCCTGTTTAGAGAAGGTTGTTCCAGTTTAAACGACTTTGTCAAACAGCCATACCATGAATCATGTTAGTCTGGGTTCATGCATGAACTTTGAGTTGTGGGATTTGGGGATTAGATGAAATACTTGGGACTCTGCACCAGTCAGTTAGAACTGAGGAAACCTCTTGGGAAGTGAGATGTCTTCAAGAACTCAAAAGAAGTCCAGTTACCCTCTGCTGAGGCCCTTAGGATTGATGCCTGTTATTGGAAATGACATTCTTAACAATATAACGGGCGTATTGTCTTGGTATCCACATACTTCCGGCTGTCTAGTTTAAATGGATCTTGTTTCTGCTATAAAGTAGTTTGTTCACTCAAGTTGACATTTCCATCATGTATTGGGACTTTGAGGGGTCTCATGATAAATCATGGTTACTAGCATCTAAAGATATTAAACTAAATCACCCATTTTGAAAGCAACATACATATTTTCCAACATC